CGTGCTGGAAAGCTCTTGTTTCGCCATTATGATTTCGAACCTTCCACCAAATATCTAGATCAAAACCGAAATCCAAGATCATAAATTGAAAATTTAGGACCAAATGTCCTAAATAGATATGAAAAATTGAAAATTTAGCACTTGATCACTTACGTAAGAACAACCTTATATTCCTAGAGTGTCTATCCATATTAACGATGTATATGATTAACGCACAGACTTCTAAAATTCAATTAACATGGCCATAATTTGATGAGTTAATACTTAGCTTAAAAATCTATCCATTGATCCTTATTACTTTATTTAAACATATTTATTTACTTGCTATTGAATTTGTGTGAATTGCAAATTCCAAACAAATGGAAATTTTCTATAATTTATTTACGTTTTCATAGCTTTTCAAGCAAATATATCAAAGGATCTACAACATATATAACTGGACAAATTCAACAGGTGAAATTATGTTTTTCAGTCATGACGCCGAAAATAAAAATAAATCACAGCTTCTCATCTCCAAACTAAACAATCACATCACGAACAGTCGTTACCCTGGAATAGTTTGTGAGGACCCGACAAATTCGTAGGGTTGACGAATGTAGGAAAAAAAATGTTTCAGGTTATTACAAATACTGCTAAGAAAAATGCAGAGACTCTTGGTCAAGAACCAGAGAATGCTGACAGATTGTACGTCAATGTAAATAAAGTCCAACTGAGAGCATAGAGTAAAGAAGCAATAAGCGAAAGCAAAAAGAACAGAGAAGAAAGTCTTCGAAGCATACCTGAGTCTCTCTCCTTGGCCACCTTTCACTAGTTTTGATTTCGGGCGGCAGCTTTTACAAGTTGACGCAGATGAGAGAAATCAAATCAGAGACACCCTGTGTGCAGCCTGAACCGAGGGATTTTATAGTGATTACTGAGATAAATAATCAATATATGTTGGTCCAAAATGGTAAATATCAAAAACTTAGGTGAATTTATCAAGTTCTTTATTATGTGTTCTTTTTTATTTTATATAAATTTATAATTAAATGTTATAACATGATAATATTTTAAAAATAAAAAACATGATGATCAAAAAACTTAACATAAATGAATATAAGTAAGTGGATATAAGTATTTTTTTATACCAATCCACATGTTGCTATAGTCGATTCGTCATAGATGCGGGCACTGGGGACGAGAGATGCCGATGGATATACTTGATTCTTACACGGGCTCGGGTCATGGACCGTTTTCTCCGATTGTGAACTTACAATAGTCCGTTCCGAATTTTAACATTTTGGGTTCAATTGTATCACCCAAAAAAGAACATTTAAAAAAAAAAACATTTTACCAACAGGGATTGGGTCTAGCGGAAAAGGCTAGTTCCTCATAACATGGCGAACCAAGATTCGAATTCCCATTGAGAGAAGTGCCCATATTTAGTATCTAACAGTGTCTTGAATAAGATTGCTTCTAATAGGAGGATACCTATGCTTTAGCCAAAAAAAACATTTTGGGTTCAATTCATGGGCCATTTAAACAAATGAATTCAGTAGAGGTTATTCTCTTACTATTTAATAGTAATTTATTTTTTTGTGCCAAAAAATAATAATAATTTTTCTTTCTGGAATTCAGTTTACAAAATTTTCAAATAAATCTGTTTATGTGAAAAAAAAGAGAGTATATATTTGCTCCGTTACATAAGTTTGACCGAGGCCAATAACTACTTCCAAGTTCAGATTTTCAGGTTAGTGCCAAATAGGCGATCCTCTAAAGAGCATGCTCTTCCTGAACTCTCTACATATCTTTGGCGGCTTGAAAACTTTGGTCATATTCATTAGTGCATTTGAAACCCTTTACAGAGAAATTGTCATCCTCAATTCCATACGTTCAGGTGAAAGTATTGAGACAATAATTTTTTAATAATATGTACACACACAATTTGATGCAAACCTTGTACATATTATAAAAGAATTTAACAAATTTTATTGTCATGAACCATAAACATATATATATAATGCGGCTTATTTTTTAAATTATGTTTCATAATGAGAATTTTATTTACAAAATATATTTGATGTACTGCCTCCTCTCCTTAATATAAGATCTTATTTGATTTTTATTTTGATCTTAAATATAAAAACCCAGTCCACTTTGTCTCTTATATTTATGTATTTTTTTCTACAGTAATCCTTCTAATAATCGTAATTCTAGCCAATATACTTGATTAGCAAGGATTTTTTAGAAAAGACAACACCTATTTATTACAAATAACTAACCTAACTTATTGTCTTAATCTCTTCAAATTAGTCAAGTAGCTCTTATAATTAGGACCGGAAGTAGTATAATATATTTAATTATTTATGATAGATTTAACCTTTGTTTTGGATAAATTGAACCTGTCTTGAAATTATTCAAACTTGCATTAACCAAATAGAAACTAGAACCAATATTGACATAATGCAAAAAATTTCAATATACTAGTAACAGAAAGTACCGACTTGGCTAGAGAGAGAGAGAGAGAAGAAAGCATCGAAAGGGAGGCACATATAATATAATATTATGCTGTTTATGACAGTAGTGGATCGCGGAACATTTGCGATGATGAAAACCCACGAGCGAGAAAGCCTAACAATGGACAACACAACTTTAATCTGTATTTGAGAGGTTATCGAACAAGCAGCCTAAACCTTATACACAAATTGAAGTGTGACATGGGGGCGAAAGAGTGTATTCACGCTAAAAATTTAATGATTTAATTTATAAATAGGAAACAATTGAACGTGTAATTTCCTTTGGATTGATTTGGAAAAAAGGAGGGCAAGTCAGAACCATGACATTTGACAACTAGACAGTGGGGGGAGGAAATCTCAATTATTGCAGCGCGAAGACAAATAAATCATGATAGAATGTCATAAACAAGGAAACATTAATTAGTGCACTAAGCTGTAAAGCAAGGAAATATAGTATGCAGAGGACATAGTGCCAAATAAAAGTCATGTGTAAAATAGAGATAGTTTGGATGACGAGAGAGAAATAAAGAAAACAATAATTGGGCATGCAATTTTGTACATCCTTCAGCGAGTTGAAAGATGAGGGAGAAATAAAGAAGACAATAATTAGACATGTAATTTCCATTGGATCCATTTGATAAAAAGAGAGGGTCGGTCATACCCATGACACTTGACAAATGGACAATGGAGAGAGGGAATCTCAATTATTGCAGCGCGAAGGCAAATAGATCATGACAGGATGTCAGAAACAAAGAAGCATTAATTGGTGCGCTGAGCTATAAAGCAAGGAAATACAGTATGCAAAGAACATAATACCAAATAAAAGTCATGTGCAAAATAGAGACAGTTTGGATGACGAGGGAGAAATAAAGAAGATAATAATTAGGCATGTAATTTTCATTGGATCCATTTGATAAAAAGAGGGGGCCAGTCAAAGACATGGCACTTGACAAATAGACAATGAAGGGAGGGAATCTCAATTTTTACGGTGCGAAGATGAATAGACATGACAGAAAGTCAGAAATGAGGAACCATTAATTGGTGTACTGAGCCGTAAAGTAAGAAAACATGGGGAAACTGGAAATTTTAATTATAAACTCTTGTATTTTACTTATAAATTCAATTTTCTCATTTCTTTCTTTCTACAATGTTATTGTTATCTTTTAGTTTCAAGAATTAATTTTACTTTACCCTCAAAGGAGCACAGTAAAATTTCAGAGTTATATGGGGAAACTGGAAATAGAATCCCCAGGCTAAATGAAATTTCCCATAATTTTTTCATAGTAGTGATTGTTTTCGATGATCATCATAATTCATAAATTCCATTTATATCAGTATTCATGCGGTTAATAATTCTCTTCCAGTGTGAATTGGTTCTTTGTCCCCCCCCCCTAATTGAGACAACCGGAAAATGCGCCTTATATTTAAAAATGATACAAAATTAATTTTTATTTCATCTTATTTAGGTTTACTTTTATTAAAAAAAAATCAGTTTGATAAATTAAAACTTATATAAATGATTAATAAAAAACAAATTTAAATATAAAATTACTAAAAAATATATGAATTTTAGTAAATAATATACACACATAAGGTGATAATTTTAAGAGAATTATGATAATTAAAAATAAACTTAATTTGTGCTAACAATCATGTGGTTAAATACGTTGTTTTATCTTAAGTTTGTTTCATTTCTTTTATAATTTTTTCTTTTATTTTTTTTCTTTTCTTTTCCTCCATCATCGTAGAGAATTGTGGATTTACACTCTAGACGCAACCCGAGAAACACTTGGGTAGCAATTTTTCTCCACATCTTCACACCTAAGGAGACTCTCCTCTGAAGCTCCTTCACTCAGACCTTCAAAAATTGAAATCTTTCATCGAAATCAACACTCAGACCATCTCCGAAAAAAAGCCAGCTAGCTTCTCTTCTGCTCATATTCTGGGTAAGCAGAAGTCATCACTGTATTTTCTGATTTTTAATTAATTTCTCCTCTGAGATGTGGTAATTATTTGATGTTGAAGCAGCTTTATATTCTAATTCTTACAGTTAAGCAGTGGTTGCGTTTTTGCAGAAAAATGTCAAGTTCATGACTTAACTCAGTAGACTTTTACTTTGATGCTTAATTCTGCTTATCAGGAAAAAGATAAAATGAACAAGACTGAACGATAAAAGGAACAGCATTTAAGTTTGGGATTTTATTCTTCTTTAACGCACAATGATCCATATGACATTACAGCATTTACTTATTTATTTGAAGAATTGATATTTGAATTTCCACACAGCTTCATTTTGCTTTACCTATAGATATTGGGATCCTCTTTCGGTCATCATGTCCTGGGTAAGTATGAGCTATCATTTATTCTTGTTCCATAATTTCTCTTATGAGCAGTTATAATAGTCAATATATAGACATGGTTCTGAATCTTGCAACCAAAGCACCGGTTGTTGAAAAAAATGTCAAGTTCATGACTTTAGCTCAGGAAAGTCCAAGTACTTGAAGTCGTTTCTGATAGAGAAAAAGCTAAGAAGGGAAAGAAGACTGAAATAATGGGAATTCTTGATTACTGGTAAGTGATTTCTGCTTCTTAAAGATATGTATATAGACAAACACACAAACAAAATGAGCTAATTTCGTTATTCTGATTTCATCTGAGTCAAAAGTACTCATATACGTGATTGCTTCTTCTGATTTGACTAGACTGTCTCCTTTGAAGTATAGATCTCCACTAAGAGCTTTCATGGGGATGAAGAATCGGACCTTTGCCAGTAACTTGTCTCAGTATGCGTAAGCCATCACTCTTTTTCAATTAATTTCTCTTTCGAGTTTAATAATTTTGTCGTTGAAAGAACTTTAATTTATATGTTAGTTGATGCTAGCTTGAAACTGGGTTTTAATTTGCAGAAGAAAAAAAAGAATGTCAAGTGGATGCTAACAAAGTGAATTATCCAAGCAGGCAACCAACTTGTAAAAAAAAAAAAAAAAAGGAAAAAAAGACAAAAAATGTGTGGTTGTTATCTGCTGAATCACTTTCAAGAAGACAATAACGGGTCCGTTTGAATTAGAGATTGGAAAAACAGCTTATTATCAATTTAACTTTTGAAAAAGTTAAATTGGATAAAAGTTAAATTGGATGATGTGAATTATGTTTTGGATTGTATTTTATAAAAGTTAGTTTGTAAAAGTTAGATTAGGTAAAAAATTACTTGGATTATAATTTAATAAAAATAAGTTTTGTTTGTATGATTACCAGAATGGGTATTGAGTTTTACCAAATAATGAAAAATGATTAAAAATATGAGTTTGCAAAATATAATAATTTTATATTATTGTAATAGGAAAAAGTTATTTTTAATGAATAAAATATATTTAGGCTAGAAATCATATTAATGTGAAAATTTTTAAATCAAATAATATTACATAACTAATTGGATGATATACTCTGCATAATTTATGTAAATATAAAATAAAAATAATATTAAAAATTAAAAATATTATCAAAACTGTTAAAAATTATTTTCACTTAAGAGAATATTAAAAATAAATAACTAAAAATTGATTTGGAAGCAAAAGAAAGATATAGAGAAAAGCACAAGAACAACATAGATATAAGGGCAAAAATGTCTTTTAATTTCAAAAAGCTACTTTTTTATTAGTCATAAGTAAGTTTTAAGTGCTTTTGTAATTGTAAGTAAAATAGTAGCTTTTGACCTATAAGTCAGATTAGGTAAAAGCTATGACAAATGGCTCCTAATTTTATAAACTAACTTGTCACACTTATAAGTTACTTTTTTCCTCCCAAAATGCCACCCCAAATAGGCTAAACACCTACTAGATATTTTTTTTTTAATTAGGAAGGGAAACAAACAAATTTATACGATAAAATACAAAAAAGACGATAATTCAACGAGTCAACTTATAAAACAAGATTAATTTTTTAAATACTACCTAGAATGCTTAATATAAAAGCTAGTATTGAAAATTTAGTTTGATGCTAAATATAAGACCACAATTTATTTTTTCTTACATTTTTTTTTCAAAGTACTCCTCATGTTGATTATATATGTTAAAGGTTGCATAAAAAATAGTCTCAATACACATTATTAATAAGAGTATTTTAGGGAATGTAACACCTATTTATTATAAATAAATAAATTTACTGTTAACTAATTTTTTAAATATTCACAAATTAGTTATTTTATTTTATATTAAGGATTGGAGGCAGTACATAGTTGGAAATTTCTTTAAATGAAAATTTCTATCGAACTTGTTTCATTAACAACACTCTCCGGTAACGTTTCTTGAATCGTTTCGCCGCAGGCTTTGAGGTTTCTCAATGGCTGAGGTGATAGTAGGGATAATTGTTCCTGCAGCTACAACTATTGCCCAATCTGTCATAGAATTTCTGTGGTCCAAAGTCGTTGGAGACTCCATTTCGCATGCTAACATACATGAATCGCTAAATCATGGATTAATGCAGCTACTTGCTTTACAAAGGGACAAAGACAATGAAGTTTTGAGCCATATTATACAGAAAAATCCGCCCAAGGCTTACAAGCTTTGGAATGAGCACGTATCAAATATTGAGAAACAGGCGGCTTCCTTGAACAAAGAATATGTTGAAGAAGGGACAAAGAGATGGCGTATTTTTGGAGGGAGAGATCTTGGAAAGGATATCAACGGGGCATAAAAAGATGTGATCAAGCTTCTTGAAGACTGTCCGGAGAAGATTCTAGTTGATAAGCTGCCAGAGCGGGTCATAAAGGAGACAGGTGTTTTATCAATTGCGGAGTATCGGACTTTCCTGGAAGTCTTCCAACAAATTCTGACTCTGCTACAAGATGAAAATAAAGGAGTAAGCGCTTCATGGACAAAAAGGAGTGGGGAAAACTACAATAATGCAAAACTTAAACAACCACTTTGTTGATAATGATGACAAGTTGTTTGATATGGTGATTTTCATCAAAGTGCCGTCTGATAAGCAGATTAAAGATCTTCACATTCTATAGGAAATTGCAAATCGAATAAAGGTGGACAGAGAAGGTAATGAACCTGCTGATGTAGTTGCTGGAAGAATACGGGAAGTGCTGGAACATAAAAGATAGTTACCAATTTTAGATGGCCCAAGGCACACACCAAATGAGATTTGGGAAAAGTTGGATATTTCACAACACAAAAAGGATAGTAAGGTGGTAATAACCACTCATTATCCTCTTGCTTTCAACTCGAAATGTGTTAATAGGAAAGTCCCGCTGGAAAGATTATCCCCTAATGACGCATAGAAGATGTTTCGATGCATTATTGGTGAGAATCTTTTACCACCCATACGAATTGCTCGACAGATATGTGCGAGATTCTGCTATCGTCTTCCCCTCCTCATAGGTCTTATAGCAAAGTCTTTTACCTATCAAGAGTCTCCTCTTGATTGGGAGGGGCTTTTGAATGAATGCACGCCTTGGCGTCAACTTAATGGTTTTGAAGGTTTATACCTAGTCTTGGAAAGTGGTTATAAACTGTTGGGTGATCAACGTAAACAAAAATGCTCCCTTTATGCTTCACTGTATCCTGCAAATAGCAAGATACACATAAATTACTTTGTGGAGTGTTATATTGCTCAGGGCTTGCTTGGTGATGTTGGTGCAGCTACTAAGTACAGCGCTATGCGTAGTCGCGGTATTGAGGCACCTTGTTAATGTCTCGTTCCTGGAAGGGGAGCAACAAATGAGGTATGTTAAAATGAACGATTTTTGGGCAATTTGCCTTAGATATATCATTCAAATATTCGGATTTAGAATGTAGCACTTATCATGTTGATAATGAAGGGCATGAGAAGTGCTCCTTCAGACCAGAGTCACGGCAGGGTGCTAGATGGATTTCTGTGGTTGGCAGTAAAAAGGATTGTCCACCAACAGACAAAAATTACGGGAGCCCTCAGACACTACTGCTACAAAAGAATAAGAAGTCTGGTTGAAATCCCACCAGCCTATTTTGACAGCATGAGCAATGTCCTTGTGTTAAACTTATAAGGTACTAAAATAAGGAGTTTGCCATCCTTGTCCGGATTAACTATGCTTAAAGCATTCTATCTAAATCGTTGTTCAGACTTGACGATAATTCCATCTGATCAGATCCAAACACTTAAGCACCTGGAGGTATTTGACATTCGAGGCACTGGAGTGAATTTTGTGCCAGGCTTGGAATGTTTGCGGTGCCTGAGAATCTCATACATTGTAAAAAGTAATTATAATGGAATTTCAGAGCTTCAAAAATTAGAAGAATTGACCATTGAAGTGAAATTCCTACTGCAATGGTGTTATGATGCTGAAAAAATTATTCAACAAGTTGATTCTTGGGAAAGTTTAACAACTTTCAAATGCAACTATCTTCTCCAGAAATTACCCTTAGAGAATTTCTAGAGGCCGGCAAGGCTCCCATTAATTGGGTGAGTTCTATGATTAAATGTGCGCGTTCGCCTCAAGTTGGAGTTCATGGTTTATCCCCTACTGAAGCGAGGAAGATGTTTGAAGACATTGTTAAAGCTAAACGGGTATGTACGAGGTTCTGCTCTTGTCTTCCCCTCCACATAGATTCTAGATTCTATATTGCAAGGTCATTTAAATATGAAGAGTCCCCCCCTAATTGGGAGAGGAATTTGAATGAATGGAACTGCTCCAAGTAATGTGATGCTTCTATCTTTTCGAATTTTAAAATATTATTTTAGTGTTGTATGATGGGATTTCAAATATATATGATCATATGATGATAGGCGTCAATCAATTAAGCAGCTAAAATATCTGATATCTTCTTAATGCATTGTGCTTTGAAGGTCACGCCACGAGAAGAGCAGAGTTCGTCAAAGCCCGCCAACGTTACTGGCAAACCGGTGAGTACCTATTCGAAAAAAACAACGTTTTCTTATTGTTGACTTCTAACATCTTTCTTTTTCTTTTGGCCAACGATTTCTAATATCTTCTTATCGAGGGGTTTTATATTTGCACACGCATACATAACGGAATTCAAAGCAGTCATTAGTCTTGTTATTCGTTTTAATTTCAAAAGATATAGGCCCTGTTTGTTTTTTTTTTAATTTTCAAAATAGATTTTCGTTTTGAAAAATAAAAGATAAAAAGCATGTTTAAAAATATGTTTTCCGTTTTGCCTTTTGAAAAAAAAAATTATTAAAAAAATAAGAACATCTTTTGACATTGTGTTACTTTTTCTGCTACAAAGTTAGGAAAAAGGTAGAATACATTGTATTTTCATTAATAACAAATGACAATGTCGTGCTTGTTAGTATTTTTGTGAGTGCTTTTTTGCGCAATTTTTTGTGTCAGGATATTATGTTAGTGTTTTTTTCAGTGTTTTTTTTTTGGTTTAATGTGTATAAATTATACGTTTTAATAATAAAATGGACCCTTTTCATGTCAAAAGAAAAAAAATAATCGCCAATAAAGCACACTATTGTTTCACTTTTAATTTTACAATTTTAGACATGTTTTTCAAATTAATAATTCAAACAATTTTTTTAATTCTTTGCTCCCAGGAGTTGGTCTAAAAAATTAGTCTACAACTATTCTAAGAACATAAAAATAGAGAATAAAATCAAACAAGCCCTTCATTTCTTGAGTATCATTTCGAATATATGGAAAATGATCAAAACGTCCACCTTTGCTCTTTTGACCGCGACTGAATCACTGTAGCCAGTTATTTAATATTTTAAATATTACTATATAATGGTCTCTTTAACTATATGCATGCAAACCCATGAGACTTCATTACAACTGCAGCCTGTGTGAGATTTATATTTTATACAAAATTTATCTTATCAGAATCTCATACATTGAAAGCTGCGATCAAAGTGGAGATTCAACTAATCATCATCCAGTGCTTTACAAATTAAAAATATTAGCCATCAAAGTGAAATCTCTACTGCAATGCTGTCATGATGCTGAAATTATTATACAAAAATTTGCTTCTTTAGGAAATCTAACAACTTTCATATGCAGCTTTCTTTTCTCATAAACCCTTGAAAAATTCTGAAAGACTATCAAATCATGGAGAGATGAGAAGATTTACATCATTTCAATTTTCTGTGGGATGTGAAGACTTAACAGCCGAAAAAAATCATTGAGTCTTTTGACTATGGAATGTTCAAGAATGTAAAGCATTGCAACGGTGGCAAAAAACAAACAAAGACTTGGCAATCATTGAGATTGCTCCCTCAAGCTGAAGCATTTGAGCTACTTTGTCACAAGAATGTTGGAAATTTATGCGAGTAGGTAAAGACATTAACGTCGGTGTCATAAGTACAAGACTCGTTATGTTTGATCCAAATGTTTGCTTGTTGCTCATAAAAGTATATATGTACTGAGAAGCATAAGACTGGTATGTTTTGTTATGGTTTCAAAAATATTGTCATGCTTGATATTTGTTTTAATGTGTACTAGAAGTTACTTTGGCTGCGTAATCTTTTTTCCCTTTTCATATCTTAGGGAGATGAACTTGGTTTGAACTAAGCCTTATTACCAGGATGCCTCTTGTTTTACTGTGCGGGTTATTTTCTTATTTTGGCTCGTGTTATTTATGGTTGCATCTCAACTAAGCAATGGTAAAATTGTGAATTGTCTGCATCCATTGATCAGGTTTATTGCGCTTAACTGGCGATCCGTGAGTTCTATGCTAATGTGCTTTACTTTGTCTTTGAGCTTCAATTGATTCATCGTGTATTAACTATTAAAGCCTATTACAAGCTCGTGGAATATATGCAAAAGGCTCAAATATTCAAAGTGAATCTGAAATAATCCTAGTTTTGTTATTACTCAACAATTCGAAAATAACTCGGTCTATGTAGTTTGGTGACTCAAGTGTTTTTTTTTTTTTTTAATGTTAAAACAGTTCAATTCCTGTAATTTTTAACTCAATAAACTATAAGCAAGTTGTTCTAAAGTAAAGTTTGAAGGATGAATCAATATTTGAAATAATTGAAAGAAAGCTAAGAGATTAAAGATTATATTTTTTAGGCTTTAGTTAAGATTTAAGAATCTGTTCAAAATTATCCTTAATCAAGCTAAAGACATAAATATTTTATTAAATATTGTAGAAAATATTACATTAAGGATTAACAGATAAAATCTTACAAATTGAATAAGAAGTAATTATCAAGAAAAAAAATACACTCACCCTGTAATGTAGATGTACCTTGTCTATATATGATGACTGATGAAATTAATATTAGAGGTATAAAATCCAATATCGGGAAAAAGGGGAGAACTCAATCTAGAAATATTAAGCTAACCTAACCATCAGTATCCTCATCGTATTCTGCTTCTAGCATTTGGGTGGCCTAAGAACGTTCCAGTCTAACTTATCTCCCTTTGGTTTTTTGAAAGACCCCAAACTGTC